ATCCCCCTCACTCCACTCTTCTTTCTCCCAGCATACAACCTAACTTTCCCTGCCTAGTTCTGTTCTTCCCTGACATAGGCTTAAAGCAGTTCTTTATTCGTTGGCCAGTAAAAACAACACATAGACAGAAGGACCTCCCACACTCTGTGTGTGTGTGTGTGTGTGTGTGTGTGTGTGTGTGTGTGTGTGTGTGACAATCTTTAGGCCAATATGAGTACTTTAGAGAAAGCCCCTCCCTACACTTGGGGGTGGAGAAAGAGGACAAGAGACAGAAGGGCCTAGAGGTCAAGAGACTTTGCTTTCTGAGCCTGCTTCTGACCACTGAGCTCGGCCCCCAGCTCTACAGAACAAGTTGTTATAACAAAACCACTCCTTTCATAACCCACTAACCTGTTAATCCCATAATCTACAAGAGCTCTCACCACCCAGTCATTTCCCAAAGGCCCCCTCTCTCAACAGTGCTCTTTTGAGGGCCAAGTTTCCAACATACCAGGCCTCTTTGCTTTTATTCCATTTGTTTGTGTGGCTTTTCCTGGGAAGATGGCCAAAGAATCAACCCCACCCAAACCTAGCTTGGTGAAGCAGTAAGTTTAAAGATATCACTTAAAGGCCCATGGGTGATGCAAAGTCACTGCTTGACTAAAAAGCCCACCAGCATGAGGGAGAACTCGCAAAAGCTGCTTCCCTGGGGCCCCCTGGTCAACTTGCAGGCAATTCCCCTAAGAGTCTATCCTCTTTCCTCTCCCATTTGCTGCCTTTATAACTGTGTGGAGGGGATTTGAGACTCTTGTAGCATTCTGAATTTATTGAACCTGGTCACTGACGCTAGCTCCTTGAATTTTAGGGCCCCGCCCTCCTCCCTCTTGAGTAAATATTCAATTCAGAGGAAATAGATACACAATACTCTCCCATTCAAACTACATAGTATGTATCTTCCAGAGGAAACTTCTGAAAGTATGGTTATCAGTTCACAGTTCAAAATGAAATCAAATGCTACTTTGTTGCCAGACCAAGCTAGGCTTTGGGTTCAGCGGCCCCACCTAGACTGACTTATTTCCTACCATACATCTAAATACTTGAGGTACCAGGCCTGCCAGGCAGCCTGCTATTCAATAAACAATAGTGACAATGTCCCTGATAAATGTCAGACACTGAGTGACACTCTTGGACTCTTGAGAACCAGTAGAGAGTAGTAATACATGTAGTAGAGAATCCAGATAACAAAATGACTTTCTAAATAAATAATTACAGGACAGGGAGGGGGAGGAGCTGATAAAAGTTGTCCATGTAAACATTTTGAGCCATCAGATGCAGGTATGCTGGGAACATTGAAGTGCCAATGTGTCTGAGAAGGCAAGGTGAGGCTGTGGAAGAGTTTGGCTCACCAGAAACCTGTGGTCTCAGGACTGACACCTGTCCCTTGTTTAGGTCTCAGCAAAAATGTCACACTGCTCTTTGGATTGGTGAAGTGACTTACTTGGGAGAGGAATGTACTGCAGAGTCTGACGACCTGACTTTGATCTCAGGATCAACATGGTAAAAGGAGTGAATCTGTTCTCCCAAGTTCTCCTTTGAGCTCCACATATGTGCTGACAAACACACACACACACACACACACACACACACACACACACACACACACACTTTAAAATAAATTTTTTTTAAAAAAAATAATCTTAAGTGCTAAAGGTAATCATCAATTCCCTGCTGTGGAATAATCCTGCTGTGGAATAATCCTTCTGTATACTGTGAAAATGTGTCCCTCTATTTGTTAACAAAAAGCTGATTGACTGATAGCTAGGCAGCATTTTAGGGACAGAGAGAATGCCGGGAAGAAGGGCAGAGTCTGAGGAGTCTTGAGCCAGATGCAGAAGTAACATGGAAAGTTGATAGATGATGTAAATGAGCCTCGGGGCAGCACATAGAGGAATAGAAATAGGTTAATTTAAGTTGTAAGAGCTGGCTGGAGACAAGTCTAAGCTATCGGCCGAGCATTTATAATTAATATTAAGTCTCTGTGCATTTACTGGGGAGCCAGTGGTCCTGACAAAAACTCCTCCTACACTTCCCCAGATGTATTCCTTTTGCATACCCTGCCTAAACTAGCTCCCCCCCATCTTCTTCTCAATCTACTCTGACTTATCTTGTATTTAGAGTACCCAACCCTTTCTGGAATTTTCTTCTTATTGTTTATGTGCCCACCACCCCACAGACTGCAATCTACATAAGCATTTTTTTAAATCTTGTTTAAAAAAAATTGGTCTGCCTCAGACCAATTAGATCATTTAAAGATTTACATTGGCTTTATTTTGTGATTCTAGACTTGGGAAACACTTCATTTCATGAACTAGAATGTGTTCTGATTTATTATTATTATTATTATTATTATTATTATTATTATTATTATTATTATTATTAGTTTTTCGAGACAGGGTTTCTCTGTAGCTTTTTGAATCCTGTCCTGGAACTAGCTCTTGTAGACCAAGCTGGCCTCGAACTCACAGAGATCTGCCTGCCTCTGCCTCCCAAGTGCTGGGATTAAAGGCATGTGCCACCACCGCCCTGCCAATGTGTTCTGATTTAATAAACTGAGTTGAACTTTTTCATCAGACTGTCAACTCCCCAATAACAACACAGACTTATTATTAATTACAGTAGCTTAGGGCTTTTTTTTCTTTCTTATTTCTTTCTTGCTTGCTTTCTTTCTTTCTTTTTTTCTGAGACAGGGTTTCTCTGTAGTTTTGGAGCCTGTCCTGGAACTCATTCTGTAGACCAGGCTGCTTTCTCTCCATCTGGCTGGAGACCCCACCTTTACTTTTCCCAGTGTCCTCTGTGCCTGGAAACCCTGCCTAACTATTGGCTATTCAGCTTTTTATTAAACCAATCGGAGTGACATATCTTCACAGTGTACAAAAAGATTATTCCACAGCAATAGACAAAAAAGGACTCAAAGAAGCAAAAATAAACCAACAAGAAAATGGTTGAACATCTGCTGTCTTTGTAAGGTCAGGAAAGGAAGAGGGAGTCACATAGAGGCAACTGGCTAATAGATCATTTCAGGTTGCTTTTTTTTTTTCTTCCTATTTTGGTTTTTCAAGACAGGGTTTCTCTGTGGCGTTGAAGCCTGTCCTGGAACTAGCTCTTGTAGACCAGGCTGGCCTCGAACTCACAGAGATCCGCCTACCTCTGCCTCCCGGGTGCTGGGATTAACAGCGTGTGTCACCACCAGCTCCAGATTGCTTTTTGTAAGGACTAAGGCAGGCAGAATGTAGTAATCATGCTAGTTGGAATTGGTCTGGCTAGGAAACTGACCTAGAAGGTCAGAAAGCTTGTTTCTTTTATCCTTTTTTTTAAAAAAAAATTATTTATTTATTATGTATACAATATTCTGTCTGTGTATATGTCTGCAGGCCAGAAGAGGACACCAGACCTCATTACAGATGGTTGTGAGCCACCATGTGGCTGCTGGGAATTGAACTCAGGACCTTCAGTTAAGAGCAGGCAATGCGCTTAACCACTGAGCCATCTCTCCAGCCCCCAGAAAGCTAGTTTTAATTTGGTAACGTGGAACTTCAATATGAGGGACTCTATTTTAGTTTTAATTTAATTTATTTACCTTTTTTTGAGACAAGGTCTCAGTGTGCCATTCATTTGTGTGTGTGTGTGTGTGCGTGTGTGTGTCTGGAGGTTGGAGGATAATATGCAGGAGCCAGTTCTTTCCTTCTATCAGGTGAGTCTTGGAGATTAAACTCAGGTAATAGTTAACTCAGGTTAATAGGTAATAGTAGCAGGTCTTTGTCAGAGAAAACAAAGGAACTTAGTAGGAGGCAGGGAAGCATTACTATAACAAAATATCTGAGGCAGACTACTTTATAAAGAAAAGAGGGTTTTTCTTGGCTCAAAGTTCTAGAGGCACAAAGTTCAAAGAGAATGAAACAGGCTTTGGCTGGGCTCTCTTCCTTGCTAGTGTCACGTTACTGTGGAAGTCTAGGTGTAGATTTGTGTCTGTTCACTCTAACGCTCCCTATAAAGCCGCCGCCAGGATCCTTGCACAGGCCTGCACACTAGCGACCTATTCTAATTCCAAAGATTCCACCAATAAACACCATAGTCATGTTAACTTCCCATTCTTTTTATCTGTCTGTCTGTCTATCTATCCATCCATCCACCCACCCACCCATCCATCCATCCATCCATCCATCCATCCATCCATCCATCCATCCA